CTCGGGAAAACCACTTTTGTTAAAAGTGTCTTTCTCCTCCAGCCACTGAGACTCCTTCAGTCCCAGGAGCCAGCCATCATCCTGCAGCAAAAAAAAACACAAACTAAGCTTTCAAAATGGGATTTTTTGTTAGATGAAGGTTTGAGAACCAGACATTTTTTATTTGGGACAAAGTTTCCAGAGTTGAATGAAACATCACTAAATGTAAATGCACAGAAAAGCAGAGACAAATACAAGTTAAAATGACCTGTTCATCTGGGCTGTCAAAGGCCAGAACCAGCACGACATCTCCCAGCTTCAGTTCCAGCTCATCACGGTCAGTGGCAGCATAGTCATGTATTGCTTTTACCTGAAGTAAAAACACCAACAAAATAAAGTTTTTTTTATGGAACCTGGACCTTGAATCTCATCAGAAAGTGCAAGACACTGACCAGGACTAGTGCACGGAGCCTCACCTTGTAGAGGAAACCCGGAGGGAGTTCACCATCAGTGCCACTGGTCGCTGCACTCTGCACCACAAAATAAACAGCAAGTCCAGGTTTATTATTCAGGGTCTCTGGCTGAAATAGTTGACAAGTAATAAAGAAAATCTAAAGCACTAAAAGGAAAAAGGCCAAAGTGGAAAAAAGAAGCAGATAGTGGGAGGAGTTTTTGTAACTGTCACCAGAATGTGAGGGGTCTTTGACCTCCAGGCCTTAACCTGTGATCTGTGGCCCCATCCACCCAACTCGACCTGGGCGACTTCATCATCACCCCATCCACCCTGTCCCACTGGGGCGCCATCGCCATCCCCAGCTGGGCTCAGTATTTGACTGAGCCGCACTGATTCCATCGTCACCCCTGAGCTGTCTCTGGGTCTTCCCATTGGGGCTGGGTGTAGCTCTGGGTGCTGCTGTCATCATCAGTCTCTTCTGGGTACTGGTTGTCATGGTGATGGGGTTCACACTCTGCAGCGGTCTGTTCACGCTACAGGGTCAGAGTAGTGGAGTGTGGTAATGGGTTTGGAAGTGAGATGGGGATGCACAGGAAGAGGGTGTACAGTGCTGAGTAGAAGCCAGAAGGGGTTAATAGTGTACAATACAGGTGACAGTCCAGGGCTGTGCAGGGTATCACGAAGCCAGAGGAAGGAGAGGTTACTTCACAGACCATAAATATGGAAGATATCCAAAGAAAAGTGGCTGTGGTTCTCTGCTTTATAAAATCATCACAAACAATGAAAAAAGAACAAGAGAAGCCCATGTGAAACAGATGATCCCACGCTTACCCATGAATCCCATGATGGCACCTTCCGTAGGCAGTAGGAGACAAGACAACCAGTGAGGGCAAAACATGGAAAAGCTTCCATCACAATTACCCACGTCAAACATCAAGCCTGGTCACCCCATTAAAATCTGCACATCTGGATCAATGTGAACAGCTACCACAATTTAGTTCATGTTTTCGGACTGAACTTAGAGACTATCACAAATCCAAATAACAGCACCAGCAAAATGCCAAGAACACATGACTGGCTGGCTCTCCTCCAGGCTCTTAACAGTCAGCCAGCATCAGTAAACTTGATCAGGTAACACGTCAATACATGTGCATGTGTGCATGCAAAGCAAGGCTGAATGTGCATGCATGTACAGAAACAGGTCGTGGAATTGTTCAAGCTCAAATATAAAAAAAAGAGGTTGAGCTCCTGGCTTAACACACAGCGACTGTGGCTACATGCAGTCAGCGAGACTGTGGTTTGTTTTATAAAAAACAGTCCAGATAAAGATCAAAATAATCTGAAAAACTTAGTTTTAATGTGGAGTTTACCTCTTTTTTGGCTGCCAGCGTGTTCTGTTTGTAATCGTCATTTCTACTAAACTGCACTTCTGGGGACTTGGCGAAATCTTGAGCCAAAAACACTGACGAACTATATTGTTAGCTGTAGCTGCAGCCCTGCGTGTAGTTTAATAAACTGCATGTAAACACAGTCCTTAACCCTTTACAGAACCTCTGACCTTTTACCTCAGTGAAGCTCACCCACCTTGGGAGCTGGGAGTGTGACTGGCTGAAATAGCTCCACATCCCAATCCACCAGGTTCACCCCTGACCAGGGTTCACACTGCTTCACACACACACACACACACACAAACACATGATCTCAGGTTAGGGGGGGTACTACATGAGCACTTGAACACGGCCAAACATTACAGCAGCACCTGACATGCTGGAGGGAGAGAGCACATTACACCAGTCGACACTGGTTCCAATCAGTTTCTGTACTGATTCTTATGGTGTAGCAGTGCATGAACCAGGACGGCCTCTCAGCTCCTCTGGCACTTTGACTCTGAGTTTTTTGTTTCCAAAGTGCAGAGCTCAAACCATCAAACCAGGACCTCCAGCGTGCACTGGGGCGGTTTGCAGCCGAGTGTGAAGCGGCTCGGGTGAGAATCAGCA